GCTGTAAGCAGACGCGCTACCCACACCGCCGTCACCATACCTGATATAAATGACTATAATTTCTTGTAGATACGTCGTAGAACATTCAATCTGGTACCATTGTGTTGCCAGAGATTTAAGCTATTTTTCTGTACATGTATATGTATATATAACTCAATTTCCATAATTTTTCTATTTTTTTTTTTTAAGAGCGTGCGGAAAATTGCCCTACTGCCCCCTTCAGCTTCCAATTGTGACCCCTTGTTTCTGTGTCCCCTCTCTGGAACAACCTGTCTCTGTCTACCTTATCTATTCCACGCAGTATTTTGTATGTCATTATCATGTCTCCCCGACCCGCCTGTCCTCCAATGTTGTCAGTCCAATTTCCCTCAACCTTTCTTCGTAGGACATACCCTTGAGCTCCAGAACTAGCCTTGTTGCAAACTTTTGTGCTTTCTCTAATTTCTTGACATATTTGCCCAGGTGTGGGTTTCCAACTGGAGCTGCATACTCCAGTATGGGCCTGATGTACACAGTGTACAGTGTCTTGAACGATTCCTTGCTAAGGTATTGGAACGCTGTTCTCAGGTTTGCCAGGCGCCCGTATGCTGCAGCAGTTATCTGGTTGATGTGTGCCTCCGGAGACATGCTCAGTGTTATGGTGACCCCAAGATCTTTCTCCTTGAGCGAGGTTTGCAGTCCTTGGCCACCTAGTCTATACTCTGTCTGCGGTCTTCTTTGCCCTTCTCCGATCTTCATGACTTTGCTCTTGGCAGGGTTGAATTCAAGAAGCCAGTTGCTGGACCACGTGTCCAGCCTGTCCAGGTCTCTTTGAAGTCCTGCCTGGTCCTCATCTGATTTAATTCTCCTCATTAACTTCACATCATCTACAAACAGGGACACCTCTGAGTCTATCCCTTCCAACATGTCATTCACATACACCAGAAATAGCACTGGTCCTAGGACCGACTCCTGTGGGACCCCGCTTGTCACAGGTGCCCACTGTGAAACCTCATCCCTTACCATGACTCGTTGTTGCCTCTCTGTCAGGTATGCTCTGATCCATTGCAGTGCCCTTCCTGTTATGCATGCCTGATCCTCTAGTTTCTGCACTAGTCTCTTGTGAGGAACTGTGTCGAAGGCCTTCTTGCAGTCAAAGAAAATGCAGTCAACCCACCCCTCTCTCTCGTGTCACACTTCTGTAACTTTGTCATAGAACTCCAGGTTTGTGACACAGGATTTGCCTTCCATGAATCCGTGCTGGTTATCGTTTATAATCTTGTTCCGTTCCAGGTGCTCCACTCTCCTCCTGATAATCATCTCCATGACTTTGCATACTATACAGGTCAGTGACACTGGTCTGTAATTTAGTGCCTCTTTTCTGTCTCCTTTTTTAAAAATGGGAACTACATTTGTGGTCTTCCATACCTCAGGTAGTTGCCCAGTTTCAAGGGATGTGTTGAAGATTGTGGTTAATGGCACACACAGTATATCTGTTCCCTCCCTGAGGACCCACGGGGAGATGTTGTCCGGTCCCATTGCCTTTGATGTACCAAGGTCACCTAGCAGCTTCTTCACCTCCTCCTCAGTTGTGGGCATATCGTCCAGCACCTGTTGGTCTATTCCCTGTTGGTGTCCCCCTCTGTCCTGTCTTCCCAGAGTCCTTCCTGTCTCCACTGTGAATACTGCCTTAAATCTCCAGTTGAGCTCCTCGCATACCTCTTGATCATTTCTTGTGAGTTCCCCATCTTCTTTCCTCAGCCTGATCACCTGGTCTTTGACTGTCGTCTTTCTCCTAATGTGGCTAAACAGCAGTTTTGGGTCAGACTTGGCTTTCGATGCTAAGTCATTTTCGTACTGTCGCTGGGCCTCCCTCCTTATCTGTGCATATTTGTTTCTGGCTCTTCGACTGATCTCCTTGTTTTCCTGGGTCCTTTGCCTTCTATACCTCTTCCATTCTCTAATGCACTTAGTTTTTGCCTCCCTGCACCTTTGGGTAAACCAAGGACTTGCTTTGGTCTTCCCATTGTTTCTGTTGCCCTTGGGAACAAACCTTTCCTCTGCCTCCTTGCATTTTGTTGTTACATACTCCATCATTTCATTTACTGTCTTTCCTACCATTTCTCTGTCCCACTGCACCTCTTGCAAGAAGTTCCTCATACCTGTGTAGTCCCCCCTTTTATAGTTTGGCTTTTCCCATTCGACTCCTGTTACCCTCTCCACCTGTAACTCTACTATGTAATCAAAACTCAGGACTACATGGTCACTAGCTCCGAGGGGCCTCTCATATGTGATGTCATCAATGTCTGAGCTACTCAGGGTGAACACAAGGTCCAGTCTTGCTGGTTCATCCTCCCCTTGCTCTCTGGTAGTGTCCCTGATGTGTTGATGCATGAGGTTTTCTAGTACCACATCCATCATCTTGGCTCATCTTGGCCCCCATGAGGCTCCAGGTTTTCTCAGTTGATCTTCCTGTGTGTGTGTGTGTTGTGTGTTTGTGTGTGTGGTGTGTGTGTGTGTGTTGTGTGTGTTGTGTGTGTTGTGTGTGTGTGTTGTGTGTGTGTGTGTAGCAGAGGTTTGTTAGTGTAGGAGTGTGTGTGTGTGTAATAGAGGTTTGTGTGTGGGATGCGATAAGGAGTGATTGGTGGAATGATGAGGCAATGAGGGTGATAAGGGAGAAAAAATGGGTGAGTCATTATCAACAAATTTTGGAAATATAAACACACATGCAGTATAATGTGATCCTTTATTGACAACATTTTACCCACACAGTGGGCTTTTTCAAGTCACAAACAGATCTACCTGGGTGGAAGGTACGCGAGTATATATAGTCAAGTTGAGAATACTGGGTCAGGTGGAGAATGCTACATGTGATGGTCTACCAAGTGGGGTTATAGAGTCTAAAATCTTGGGTAGCTTGGAAGAGAGATTGGATAAGTATATGAGTAGACCTTCTGCAGTGTTCCTCCATTCCTATGTTTTTATGTGGGATAGCGATGAAGAAGTTTCTTGGCAAGTGAGCTCATTACCTTTGTACCTAGTTCAGCTATCAAAACTTTGGGGGCCCAGTCCCTGGACCCATTACGTACCTCTGTAATCTGTAAATACCTTTGTAACTTGTCATGATTGTGACCAGACTTACCTGGAGTTCATTACCTTTGTAAATTGTGAGTTCATTACCTTTGTAAATTGTGAGTTCATTACCTTTGTAAATTGTGAGTTCATTACCTTTGTAAATTGTGAGTTCATTACCTCTGTAACTTGCTCAGCTATCAAAACTTTGGAGTCCAGTCCCTGGACCAATTATGTACCTCTAATCTTTTGACTACCGCCCACAGGATGGGTATGGGGTGCATAATAAACATATTAAACTAACTAACAAGTGGTTCAGCTATGTTATAGAAGTCGTTGTTCTGGTTGAAGTTGTTGGATATAGAGATAAGCGATGATTTCAGGATTCTTTGGTATTCAAATAACCTGCACATAAAAGAGAGAAGCTTACGACGACATTTCGGTCCGACTTGGACCATTTACAAAGTCACACTAACCAGAAGTGGAGCAGGACAGCTATATATAGGCAGGAAGAGGTGGTGGTGGTAGTAGTAGTAGTAGTAGTCGCCGTCTAGTTGAATCCTCTCTAATACACAACTTTCCTTGTATGAATCTTAGTCCTGGCTTCGTCTCTGTAGATGCCTTCCTCTCCCACTACATTGTAAAATGCTCCAAACTTCAGAACACCCGTGACTTAACCTGACACCTCATTTTTTCTTTTTCTTCTTCTCCCTCTTCCCCTTTCCTTTCTCTCCTCTGGGTTGTCTTTCTCTCTTCTGTCTTGTGTTTCTGTTCCTTCTTTATTTATTTCACCACTTCCCCCTTTCACCCACCTCTGTGTGCTTGCTCTACCTCTGTGGGCACCTAGCTCCCTTGCAGTGCTCCCCTTCCTTTGTCTGGCTTGTCTGTGCGCTGCTGCTGCTGCGGTGCTGCTGCTGCTGCGGCTGGTCTCTGGTGCTGCTGCGGCTGCTGCTGCTGCGGCTGCTGCGTGCTGCGTGCTGCTGCTGCTGCGGCTGCTGCTGCTGCGGCTGCTGCTGCTGCGGCTGCTCTGCTGCGGCTGCTGCTGCTGCGGCTGCTGCTGCTGCGGCTGCTGCTGCTGCGGCTGCTGCTGCTGCGGCTGCTGCTGCTGCGGCTGCTGCTGCTGCGGCTGCTGCTGCGTGCGCGCTGCTGCTGCTGCGGCTGTGCTGCTGCGGCTGCCTGCTGCGGCTGCTGCGGCTGCTGCGGCTGCTGCAACGACTTCTACCTCCTCCTCCTGCCTATATATAGCCGTCCTACTCCACTTTTGGTTAGTGTGACTTTGTAAATGGTCCAAGTCGGACCGAAACGTCGTAAGCTTCTCTCTTTTATGTGCGGGTTATTTGTGTATCGTTCCAGTCGCGGTATTGTGCCTTTTTTGTTATTCTTCGGTGTTGAGTGTTGCCTTCTCTGGCGATAAGTCTTGAGTTTCAACTACAGAAACTCGAGTCTTATCGCCAGAGAAAACAACACTCAGTACCGAAGAATCCTGGAATCATGGCTTATCTCTATATCCAACAACTTCAACCAGAACAACGGCTTCTGTAACATAGCTGAACCACTTACCAAGAAACTTCTTCATCGTTATCCCACATAAGAACATAGGAATGGAGGAACATTGCAGAAGGTCTACTCATATACTTATCCAATCTCTCTTCCAAGCTACCCAAGATTTTAGACTCTATAACCTCACTTGGTAGACCATCACATGCAGCATTCTCCACCTGACCCAGCAATCTCAACCTGATCACATTATACTGCATGTGTGTTTATATTTCCATTGTGTCAGTATTTTATACCATTTATTTCCAACAAATTTTGCTGAAAATAGTTGTTTTGGAGATCAATAAGATGAGTTTTAGTGGCTTCTAATGTTATTAGTGGGGTTAAATCATTAGTAGTGCATTAAGTTATTTTAGTATTACTAACATATGTCAAATGGAACTTGTTTTCAGGTTCCTGATACAAAAGGCACTCTTCGATGTTGTGTGGGACGCAACCCATACAATGGGTATAAGTACCTCTGTGGTGCCACCAACTCGTCTTTGTACCTGATGCAGTGGTATGATCCACTCAATAAGTTTATGCTGTTAAAGGTGAGTTCTGTATTGAATTTCAAGTGTTGATACATGCATGTCAGGGATACAAAAAAAGATGGTAAATTCTGGGTGTACTGCCAGTCAAGATCTAGTCAGATTTTTTCAAATATCATATTCGTTACTGTACATTATTTAATATCTCAGTTTTTTTTTTTCCCCCAGCAAAGTGAGTGTTACCTGCCTCATCCCCTTAGAGTTTTTGAGATGATAATCACACCTGACTTGGAGTACCCACTCATGTGTGTAGATGTAAACCGTAGCTATGGGGCAGATGATGTTCTTCGGCACAGCCTTATCAACCTCAACACTGGAACTACATGGACTCCGGATGATGATGATGATATGGATGGAATGGCAACTGTTGTGCCTAGACACAACCTTAATGTAAAAAATGTTACTCAGATTGAAAAAGATGCCATATTAGTCTGTTATGAAAGTAAGTGTATTACTCCTCTTTATTGCATTTGATGATTTTGAACAGGTAAGTAATTGGCAATCATTTTTCATCACTGGTTCAGGACACTGTATATTTGGGTGGCATGCTCTTGGTCCTGGCTTGATCTGAGGGGTAATGTAATTAGCATCTAGTCATCTGGTCTCTTATGATCATTGTTGTTGCATTTATATCTTGGTGTGGAAACACATGTGAATTTCCTGAAAGAACAGGTGCTCAGAAATAACAAAATCCCAAATTATTTTTCTTGTTCTTAGATGTATCTTTTTCATATTTTTGGGCAACTGGCACTCATTAGGTGGAAGTATTGCTCTAGGCCTATTTAGTTATTAAAAACTTAGTCTCATGGCCCATTATATATGGGATCTCCTCTTATAACTCATTCCATTTTTATGACAGTATCTCTTCCACAGCTCTTCTTTTTATTTTTTATAGCTTTGAAGTATTGTTGTCCCTGTAGATGATGCTGGGAAATCTTCCTTATCAATTTCTTTGTATTAAAGAGTGACATTAACATGGTTGGAATAGTTCACAAATAACCCCCATCTAGAAAACTTTTGACAATTTTTTTTCTATTAACACATTGGCTGCTTCCCACCAAGGCAGGGCGACCTGAAATAAAAGAAACACCTTCATCATCATTCACTCCATCACTGTCTTGCCAGAGGTGCACCTACAGTACAATTATAAAACTGCAACTTATCAACACCCCTCCTTCAGAGTGCAGGCACTGTACTTCCCACCTCCAGGACTGAAGTTCAGTCTACCTGAATCCCTTGATATATGTTACCTTGCTTACTCTCCAACAGCACGTCAAGTCATAAAAACCATTTGTCTCCACTCGCTCCCATCTAACACGCTTATGCATACTTGCTGGAAATCCAAGCCCCTCGCACACAATATCTCCTTTACCCTCTCCCTCCAACTTTTCCTAGGCTGACCCCTATCCCGCCTTCCTTCCACTACAGATTTATGTGCTCTTCAAGTCATTCTATTTCGTTCCATCCTCTCTAAAAGCCTGAACAGCCCCTCAGCCTTCTGAATAATACTTTTAGTAACCCCACACCTCCTCCTAATTTCCGAACTACGGATTCTCTGCATTATATTCACACTACACATTGCCCTCAGACACGACATCTCCACTGCCTCCAGCCTTCTCCTTGTTGCAACATTCACAGCCCATGCTTCTCACCCATATAAGAGTGTTGGTATAATTGTACTCTCATACATTCCCCTCTTTGCTTTCATGGATAACATTCTTTGTCTCCACAGACTCCTCAGTACACCACTCACATTTTTCCCTTCATAAGTTCTATGATTCACTTCATCTTTCATAGACCTGTAGTCCACTTCCAAATATCTGAGTACATTCACTTCCTCCATACTCCAGTCTATCATTACCAAAACTTTTTGTTATGTGCATCACCTTACTCTTTCCTGTATTCATTTTTAATTTACTTCTTTTACATTCCCTACCAAACTCATCCACCAACTTCTGCAACTTCTCTTCAGAATCTCCCAAAAGCACAGTGTAATTGGCAAAAGGCAACTGTGACAACTCCCACTTTGTGTTAGATTCTTTATCTTTTAATCCCATACCTCTTGCCAACACCCGAGCATTCACTTCTCTTACAACCCCATCTATAAATATATTGAACAACTATGGTAACATCACACATCCCTGTCTAAGGCCTACTATTACTGGGAAATAATCTCCCTTTCTCCTACATACTCTGACCTGAGCCTCACTATTCTCATAAAAACTCTTCATTGCTTTCAGTGACCCCCCACCTATTCCATATACGTATTTGCAACATCTGCCACATTGCCTCCGCCCCATTCACCCTATCATACGCCTTTTCCAAATCCATAAATGCTACAGAAACCCCCTTACCTTTATCTAAATACTTTTACTGAGAAATAATCTCCCTTTTTCCTACATACTCTTACCTGAGCCTTACTTCCTCTTTCTTTCAACAAACTGGCCGTATCCCTCCGAAGCAGGGTAGCCCAAAAAGAAAAACAAAAGTTTCTCTTTTTTAAAGTTAGTAATTTATACAGGAGAAGGGGTTACTAGCCCCTTGCTCCCGGCATTTTAGTTGCCTCTTACAACACACATGGCTTATGGAGGAAGAATTCTGTTCCACTTCCCCATGGAGATAAGAGGAAATAAACAAGAACAAGAACTAGAAAGAAAATAGCAGAAAACCCAGAGGGGTGTGTGTATATATATGCTTGTACATATATGTGTAGTGTGACCTAATTGTAAGTAGAAGTAGCAAGACGTACCTGAAATCTTGCATGTTTATGAGACAGAAAAAAGACACCAGCAATCCTACCATCATGTAAAACAATTACATGTTTTCGTTTTACACTCACTTGGCAGGACGGTAGTACCTCACTGGGCGGTTGCTCTCTACCAACCTACTACCTACCTGAGCCTTACTGTCCTCATAAAAACTCTTCACTGCTTTCAGTAACCCACCTTCTATTTCATACATTTGCAGCAATTGCCACATTGCTCCCCTATCCACCCTATCATACATCTTTTCCAAATCCATAAATGCCACAAAAATCTCTTTACTCGTATATAAATTCTCTTTACCTATATGATTCACTGTAAACACTTAGTCTACATACCCCTTAATCTTCCTGAAGCTGCCTTGTTCATCTGCAGTCCTGCTCTCCATCTTCCTCTTAATTCTTTCAATAATAACTCTACCGTACACTTTACCAGTTATACTGAACAGGTTTATTCCCCTATAATTTTTACACTCTATTTTGTCCTCTTTGCTTTTATACAAAGGAACTATGCTTGCTCTCTGCCAGTTCCTAGGTACCTTACTGTCTTCCATACATTTATTAAATACAAGCACAAACCACTGTAAAACTATGTCCCCACCTACTTTTAACATTTGTCTTTACCCCATCAATCCCAGCTACTTTACCCCTTTTATTGTAAATACCACCTCATGCACCCTCCACCCCCCCACCACTCACAACTGGCTTTTCCTCATTCCTACAAGATGTTATACCTCCTTGCCTAATACACGAAATCACAACTTTCTTATCTTCATCAGCTTTTAACAGTTCCTCAAAATATTCCCTCTCTCTTTCTGATACCTTCAACTCTCCGTTGAACAACTCTCCTCTACTATTTTTAACTGTCAGATCCATTTGTTCCCTAGGCTTTCTCAACTTATTAATCTAACTCCAAAACTTTTCTTTATTCTCAACAAAATTTGTTGATAACATCTCACCTACTCTCTCATTTGCTCTCCTTTTACATTCCTTCACCACTCTCTTAACCTCTCCTTTTCATCTCCATATACTCCTTGTATCACTTCTATTTTGTAGAAACTTCTCATATTCTTTTTCTCTCTTATTACTCTCTCTACTTTATTCCACCAATAGCTATTCTTCTTCCCTCCCATACCCACTCACTTTCCTGTAGCCACAAACTTCTGCAGAACACACTAACACTGCATTCTTAAATCTAACTCATACCTCTTCAGCCTCATTGCCTATACTCTCACTAACCCATCTTTCTTCCAACAGCTGTTTATATATTGCCTTAACCATAAACCTTCACCTCTCTTACTTGTTGATTCCTTTCTCCTTGTATCCCGTCTGCATTTTATTTTCACTGTAGCTACCACTGAAAAGTGATCTGAAATATCTGTGGCCCCTCTATAAACATGCACATCCTGAAGTCTACCCATCAGTCTTTTATCTACCAGTACATAGTCCGGCAAACTACTGTCATTATGCCCTATATCATATCTTGTATACTATTTTTTTTTCCTTAAAATATGTATTGCCTATAACCAAACCCCTTTCTATACAAAGTTCAATCAAGGATCCCCATTATCATTTATATGTAGCACCCCAAACTTACCTACCACACCCTCTCTGACAATTTCTCCCACTTTAGCACTTAGGTCCCCTACCACAATTACTCTTTCACTTGGTTTAAAGGTTCCTGAGCACTCGCTTAACATCTCCCAAAATCTCTCTCTCCTTTACATTCCTCTCTTCTCCAATATTTCAGTTAATCCTGGAGTCTGTGTACTCTATAATGGTCGAGGATGGGCTGATATGTCATCTAGTTTCTTTTCTTAAGTATAAAATATTTGTGAATTCTTTTATAACCTTTGATTATTATCTTGTACAGTATGTGATTTTCACATCAATTCCTCCCATGAGCCAGTGAAGGATATCTTAATGCCTTCAAGCTTTTGTTCATATTCTGTATCTTAGTTTTTGTATTTTGCCCATGTGCTTATAAGTGCAGATGCAACGGCTGGTAGATGAATTTGGAAGGTATGTAAAAGAAGGAAACTAAAAGTGAGCAAAGGAAAGAGTAAGGTGATGAGAGTAACAAAAACTTTAGGCAATGAAAGATTAAATATCAAATTGGAAGGAGGGAGTATGGAGGAAGTGATGTGCTCAGATGTTCGGGAGTGGACAGGTCTGTGAAAAATGAGGTGAACCTTAGAACTGATGAGGGGAAAAAGATGGGTGATGTATTGAGGCATCCGTGAAGACAAAGAATATTATCCATGGAGGCAGAAGGGAGGAATGTATCAGTGTAGCAGTACAAACACACTTATATGTCTGTGAAGCATGGGTATTAAATGTTGCAGTGAGGAAGAGACTGGAGGCAATGGAGGTGTCATGTTTGAGGAAAATGTGTGATTTGAATATTATGCAGAGAATTTGTAGTTGGAGATTAGAAGGATGTGAAGAGTTATCCAGAGGGTTGAGGAGGGGTTATTGAGGTAGTTTGGACATCTGGAGAGGATGGAGTAAAACATGATGACTTGGAGGGTGTATAAATTTGTAGTGGAGGGAAGGAGGGGCAGGAGTCATTCTAGGAAAGGAGGTTTTGAAGGCGAGGGGCTTGGACATCCAACAGGTGTGTGTGAGCATCTTAGATAGGATTGAGTGGAGGCAAGTGGTTTTTATGGCTTGATGTGCTGCTGGAGTTTGAGCAAAGTAACATTTATGAAGGAATTCAGGATAACTGGTTAACCAGACTTCAGTCCTGGAGGTGGGAAGTACAGTGCCTGCACTTTGAAGGAGGGGTGGAGATATTGCAGTTTGGAGAGACATCTGAGCTGTAATATAAACATGCCTCTGGTAAGCCAGTGATGGAGTAAGTGATTGTGATTGTGATTTTGTTTTTTCTTTTTCATGTCACCCTACCTTGGTGAGAGACAGCTAGTGTGTTAAAAAAAATTTAAGTGCTGTAGATACATGTCTAGGGTAACGTATGTAAATCCTAAAAAAATTTTTTATCATATTGCAGATGTGGTGAGAGTAGTCAACTTGCAAGGTAAAATTAAAGAGAGGAAAAAGCAAACCTCTGAACTTCAGTTTGATTTCAACATAGACTCAATAGGTACTATTTTCACATATAAAATTTTATTGGCATTATTCTTCATGTTAATGTTAAATACTGCAATACTGGAGTTATATGATATAAAACAATCTCCATTACTAGCATCCAAACATTAATGTCAAAATTTGTTCTCCTAGTGTGTTTAACAGATAGTGTTCTGGCCTTCCACGAGCATGGTATGCAAGGTCGAAGCTTCAAGAATGGTGAAATCACTCAAGAGATAATTGACAATTCACGGCTATTCAGATTACTAGGCTCTGACAGGTAGGTTATTGTGTACAGTATTATTTTTCAGCTACATTCTGCATTATGCAGGTAGTTATAACTTTAGTGAAGCTACACTTGCATCATCTATGGGAAGGACCCACAGCCTTTAAATCTTCTCTTATTTGGCTGTTTCTTGAACTTCTAGGTAACGTATTGAAGTATTGCGTCTTAGCAATGTTGCTATCAAGCTTTTAATTATTCACATTCACAGTGCAATTAAAGTGAATCTTAGCTGCTCTGATATCAGGCTACTTTGTGTCTCCACTGTACTGTACATTGAATATTTCCCTTTATCTTAAATATATTCAAGAAGTACTGTAGTATTCCTAAACATTTGCCATTTTATTAACAACAAATTTGACAGAGATTCTCACAAGTCTTGGTATGTTTATTTCATTGAATTTAATAATTAATGTTTTAGTAAGTTGACTTTGGAAAAAGACTAGAATAGTTTTAATATTTGAATCTAAAATGATTGTTGTAAAGCCACACACATGTATTCACTGTTTGCCCATATTTCATCTCGGTATTTTACCTTCATTGTTGAACTGGTGCAGGCATTTCCGGGATCCATTTTATGCAGACACTCTTCCAAGGTACTTGGCATGGAGTGCGAATTATGCATAATCCCCTGTTTTTTAGTTTGAAATTTATCACTGTAAATAGGGCTGTGACAAAAGGGTAGTATGCATTTTTTAATGAGCCTCATTCCATATATGAATCAGGTTAATGAACACAGTGAGTGCTCTCTGAACCATAAAACTATTGTTAGAATCTGCCAGTCACACATGGAAATGACAAATAAAAAAATAGGGACATTTGTCAACTGTCATAAGAAAAGTATGTAGACATCAGCAAAAGTTTCTGTAAACTTCCCCATTTTCCATCATCAAGTATAATTTTAAATATGACTAAAAATATAGTAATAGTTGCTGTGAAAACACAAGACAGCAAAAATAAAATGGGGAGCGTTGTCGGGAGTTAACAAGGAAATAAACATTGCAGGTGTCAGTATTACCACAAGTAAACTGCACTATTACCCTCATATAAAGATCATAACAAGTAACATTGTGCAGTTATTTTGGATGTATATTTGTTTCAAGACTTTGAGACCAGTAAAGGTTTCTTGGTCCAGGGAATCAGAGCTCCTCTCCTTGTGGATCAAACTTGATTGGCTCCCATTTCTTATTCTCTACTCACTATACGACCCCTATGGTTATTGCTCCCCCATAATTTTTTTTTTTTTTAACAAGTTGGCCGTCTCCCACCGAGGCAGGGTGACCCAAAAAGAAAGAAAAAATCCCCAAAAAGAAAATACTTTCATCACCATTCAACACTTTCACCTCACTCACACATAATCACTATTTTTGCAGAGGTGCTCAGAATACAACAGTTTAGAAGTATATACGTATAAAAATACACAATATATCCCTCCAAACTGCCAATATCCCAAACCCCTCCTTTAGAGTGCAGGCATTGTACTTCCCATTTCCAGGACTTGAGTCCGGCTATATAAAATAACCAGTTTCCCTGAATCCCTTCACTAAATATTACCCTGCTCACACTCCAACAGCTCGTCAGGTCCCAATTACCATTCGTCTCCATTCACTCCTATCTAACATGCTCACGCACGCTTACTGGAAGTCCAAACCCCTCACCCACAACACCTCCTTTACCCCCTCCCTCCAACCTTTTCGAGGACGACCCCTACCCCGCCTTCCTTCCCCTACAGATTTACACACTCTCCATGCCATTCTACTTTGATCCATTCTCTCTAAATGACCAAACCACCTCAACAACCCCTCTTCAGCCCTCTGACTAATACTTTTATTAACTCCACACCTTCTCCTAATTTCCACACTCCAAATTTTCTGCATAATATTTACACCACACATTGCCCTTAGACAGGACATCTCCACTGCCTCCAACCGCCTCCTCGCTGCAGCATTTACAACTTATTCCTCTATAATTTTTACAATCTCTTTCGTCACCCTTCCCTTTGTATAAAGGGACTATACACACGCTCCGCCAATCCCGAGGTACCTTCCCCTCTTTCATACATTTATTAAGCAAAAATACCAACCACTCCAATACTATATCCCCCCCCCATAATAATATTTCAGGTGTGTGTAAATTATTGTGAAGTGTTATAATGTGTGTTGTGAGTGGGTGTGTGTTGTGGTGAGAAAGGAGGGTTATGACTACTACTGTACCAGGGTTTAGTGTAGCTGACATACAGTGAACCCCTGCCTTACGATATTAATCCGTTCCTGAGAGCTCATCGTAAGCCGAAATTATCATGAGGCAAATTAATTTTCTCCGTAAGAAATAATGGAAATCAAATTAATCCATTCCTGACACCCCAAAGTATGAAAAAAAAAAATTATCACATGAAATATTAATTTTAATACACACAAACTGAAGAAGACATGCACAATTACTACTCTACTAAGAATAGAATACATGACACTTACCTTTATTGAAGATCTGGTGATGACTGATGGGATGGGAGGAGGGGAGAGTGTGGAAGTTGCTATTGTTTAGGACTTGGGGTAGCAAGTCCTTTTCTGGGGTTACTTCCCTTCTTCTTTTAATGCCACTAGGACCAACTTGAGAGTCACTGGACCTCTGTCATACAACAAATCTGTCTATGGAGCTCTGTACCTCCCGTTTCTTTAAGACTTTCCTAAAATGGGACGTAACATTGTCGTTGTACAGGTTGCCAACACGGCTTGCAGTAGCTGTGTCAGGGTGATTTTCATCCAGAAAAGTTTGCAGTTCAACCCACTTTGCACACATTTCCTTAATCTCTTTTTTCAATTCCATACTAATTCTCGCCATTTTTACCACAGGGATGGCACTAGAAGCTTTCTTGGGGTTCTTGGTGACTTATTTTGCAGTTACAAGCACTAAAAACACTGGGATAATGTGAAATGTACTGAATGTATGTGTAGATGCAACCTCACTGGCTGGCTTGTAAACACTGGCGCTGAGGCCACATGTGGGACGCGTCCCAGACAAATCACGTAAGGCGAGTTTTTTATCGTGAGGCGAGGCAAAATTTTTGCGTTCAAATGCTTTGTATGGCAGATTTAACATAAGGCGATGCATTCGTAAGGCGGGGGTCCACTGTAGTTCCTTTCTGACAATGGTTAACATTATATGATTATGCAATGCAAGATAACTCAGATGTGTGTTAGAGTGAAATCTCCAGATTCACATTTTTCACCAGGGCCAGCAGCTTGAGTTTAAGTAGTTTAAACAGTTTAAACATTCTTAAACATATTTTCATAGACTCTACAGTTATTTACAGACATACAGTACTCCACTCACTCTACATGTATTATGAAAGAGACATAATATGTATAATATTGTGTGTTTGTAGAACAAAATTTTAAATAGCAGTAAAAACATAGGATCTATTTTATAGAAGGTCTGTCATCTTGTACAACAATTTCTTTTACCAGGCAAGATTTATCAATCAAGTGAAGTTCACACTCACTGTGTGGCATTCTGTGCAGCCGCTGGGAGAGCAGTTTGATTTTGGCAACCTTTGTTTCTGTTTTTCCTAAACAAGCAGTCTCTTGTGCTTCCTCAGACCTGGGAGTTCCTCACCAGGCCACAGGCTTCCAGATATGAGCTGGAATCCATCATAGAGTATAAGCTTTGTGGTTTCCACTCTACTTCTTGGTCACTGTCAGTGGCGGCTTGTGTATAAGCACTGTGGAACTGCAGCACCCCCTATTTTCACTCGATATCGATAATATTCAATATAACAAGTCTTTTTTTCTTTAATTCTTTCTTTATACTTGTACATTATATAATCCTTAAGCTTAATGTCAGTAGCCATACCCTAATACATGAAAAAATTACAAAAATCCTTGTATGGAACTGTGCGCTTCACAGTTCCAGCGACTCAGTGTTTGGCTGTTGTGCGCATGCACATATGTCTGATATAAGACGCTGCATGCTAAGTAGAGAGAGCACTGTCACTGATGCAGTGCCAATCTTGTTGTGCAAGTGTAAGGTAATGTTTCGTTTTGATTCAGTAACGTGTATTGTGCTTAAAACCATGTACAGTGGTACCTCAATTTACAAGTGCCCCAACTAACGAGTTTTCTGAGTTACGAGCTGTTGCTCGGTTGTTTATTTGTTTTGAGTTGTGAGCCAAAATCCGAGACACGCCGCCACTAGTTGGCGCAGCGAACACTACAACATCCGTCCAGCATTCCAGTGCTTTGTGCTTTTTGTGCATTTATTTGGCCAAATTTCTTTTTCTAACCATGGGTCTTAAGAAAGTAAGTGCAAAGGACAGTGCTGAGAAGAAGAGGAGGATGAAGTTCATTAAATTAAAGCATGAAATCTTAGAAAAACACGAGAAAATTGCTTTGTTTTTCAGTGTTTTCCCTATGAAACTAGTGATCTAGTACAGTTAGCCTCACAAACACTCCATTTTCTCTTATAATAAGATCTCAGGAGGGCAAGAATGGGAAGATATGGTCAGAGCAATAATTATTTTTACCCAGGGAGTGGTCACCACCACTTGTCACATAATGACATATTCATACTAGAGTATATATCATGTTTCTGTTATTTATATTGTTTATTATATCGTATTAGATCAGTTATGATCGATAAATAAATCATAGAGTTGATGTTTGTGTTAAATTGAAGTATTGTCTCCTGCCTCCTGCTACCGTCCACAGGATGGATATGGGGTGCACAATAAACTAGCCACTTCGGTGGCAAAATCTAAAATCTCCTGAGAGCCAGGAATTCCGCTGGAACGAATTAACCCCTAACCCTTAAACGGTCCAAACGTATATATATGTTCACTCGTGCAGCGCCCCGAATATTTTGAAAAAAAAAAATCTTTTTTTTTTTTTAATGGAAAAAAAGCACATTTATTTAAGTGTTTTAGAAAAAAAAAACGAAAATTAGGGTCAGTACTTACAGAGATATGAGGCTGAGAAGTTGGCATTGGATGCTCACGTGACGGCAACATGGAGTCCTGCTGCTTGCAGAAGTGTTGCCGATATACCTTTTTTCTCGTTTTCACATTATATAATTTTTATGTTCTGATAATTGCACTTTATAGTACAGGGCCTCCATTACAAATCCGGCATCATTGGGACCTGTAGTGTGCCGGATTACTGAGTTTGCCGAATTACAGAGTGGTTAAGTTAGAATACACTTAATAAAATTAACCAACTTGACTTACACAGTTCATTGAACATCGGCAAAAATCGAACATTTCCGCTACTTTGAGCTCAATTTCAAGGTACTTTTTGTCATGAAAGCAATCAAAATCATGTCTATTTCTGTAATATATCTTCCATTATATCAATTGAGTCCAAAAAATGAGAATACAACCATAAAAACCATACGAAAATATACTGCAAAGAGGCGGCTAATGGCTGAGAAGTGAACTCCCTTATTTTCATCCCTCATTTTTATTTTTGTTGTACGTTAAGAAGCATCTTTCTATCATACATTGCCAAGTTTTCATTGAGATAGCCCAACAAACAACCGAGAGAAAAAAAATATTTACCAAAAATCATATATGGCAACCCCAAGGCAGGTACTGGAAATAAGT